CAATTGCGCTGTAACCACACTATTTGACGCTTCTATTTGACTCTTAGATATGAAGTGCACCCCACTAATGTACTATTTAGCAGATTAGCACACAGAAAATAAGAATGTTTCAAACTGCGATGTAACCACAGTATTTGACGCTTCTATTTGACTCTCAGATATGAAGGGCACACCCCAAATTTACTATTTAGCAGATTAGCACCACAACAATTAGAATTTTTACAACTGCGCTGTAACTGCAGTATTTGATGCTTCTATTTGACTTTCAGATATGAAGTGCACTCCACTAATGTACTTTTTAGCACCCAAAAAATGTAAAACTGCAATGTGACAGCAATATTTGACACTTCTATTTGACTCTCAGATATGAAGTGCACCCCACTAATGTACTTTTTAGCACCCCAAAAATGTAAAACTGCAATGTGACAGCAGTATTTGACGCTTCTATTTGACTCTCAGATATGAAGTGCACCCCACTAATGTACTATTTAGCACCAAACAAAATTGCCTTTTTAAAACTCCGATGTAACCGCAGTATTTGATGCTTCTATTACACTCTCAGATATGAAGTGCACCCCACTAATGTACTAGTTTGCAGAATTCTTTCCTAATCTGTCCCTGAAAGCGGCAGCATCCACTCCCTACATTAATAAGAGCTCATGTGCGTGCGGTGCTACATGACTCCAACTTATATCTAGAGGCTGGGTCACATGCTGCACTGGCCAATCACAGCCATGCCATTAGTAGGCATGGCTATGATGGCTTCTAAGGGCACACGAGTCAAATGCTTGTAGATTGGCTGCCCTGCAGCCTTTCAAAACGCGCCATTTAATTGCCGAACACCGAACTCCAACCAGAACATACAGTGATATGTCCGTGTTCGGGTCCAGGGTCCAAAAAAACGTAATGTTCAGTACGAACCTGAACTTTACAGTCCGGGTTCGCCCAACTCTACTTATTTTATATTGTATTCTCAATTATTTATATATCTTACTAATTATATACAATTATGGATATCTGCATGATTATCCCTGCTAAGTTCTATGCTTTAAGAAGTTATAGTGGTAAATAGAGGAACCAGCCGCGGTTACACATGCACTTAGAACCACCCATTGGGTATTATTGATGAGCAGGTGCCTGGTAAGGGGCCACTGCCCTTTATGAGCATCACTGGACCCCTGTAGTGTTTGCCAGCTAGAAGGCAGTTAGAGCCAGTCACTTCCTCACAGCTTCATACAGAGAACACCACACTGGAGGGAGGAGGAGTTGGCACTATCAGCATGGAGGGTGTATAAGTCAGTGGAGTATGCATCTATATGACATATTGTGTATATGTCAGTGTGTGTAGTGTGTGTATCTGTGTGTCATGGTTTGTGCACATCTGTGTATTTGTGTGTATATGTCAGTGTGCGCATGTGTCAAGCTGTGCATCTGTGTATCAGGGTGTGTATATGTCACTGTGTGCATCTGTGTGACAGGTTGTATGTGGGTCAGTGTGCACATGTGTCAAGTTGTGTGCATATGTTAGTGTATGTGTCTGTGTATATGAATTTGTGTTTATGTGTCAGTTTATTTATATATGTATATCTGTTTAAGTATGTATTTATATGACAGTGTATGTTTGTATGTGCATACATCCAAGCAATAAAACACCTACACAACAATCAAATACACTCCTGCAATCTAAAGCAAATATTACATGCAAACTCCAAAATTAAATACAAACACACCCCTTCACTCAAACACCAATACTGCACGCAGATGTACATCCACATTTAAAAGCCAAGATAATATCCAAACACATTGTTGCAATCAAATGCAAACATTACATACATGGACACCCCTGTACTAAAACACAAAAATGATATACAAACATCCCTTCATTCAAACACTACACACAAAAGCACACCTGCATTTAAATGCCAGTAATACAAAAGATCCATGCTAATTTTCATTTTACTCAGAATAACTGTGGTGCACTAGATCCTACTAATATTATATATTTTATTGGTTTGCATTATGATCAAATTGTTATTCTAATTGTTAATACAAAACTACTGACCAGTGGTAGTGCTTCATTTTTCAAAAAGCCATTAAAACAAGATGGTGAACACGATTGAACATGTAACATGCGACAAAAGACAAAAACATGTAATTTTCTCATTTTAATCAGCAGTGAGTTGCATATACAAAAACAAAACAAAATTAAAGAGCTTTATTCTTTCAGTGTTGAACACATCAATAAAGTCACACTTTTGTGTCTGAGAGGTTGCTGCTTGTTGCTATGGCTATAAAAGATATGCCACAAAGTGTTATGACTCCATTGTGTGTGTATACACACACTCATTACACACATTGTTATAAATGTAAGGATGTTCTGTCAGAGCAAGCACTGGTGATGGAAGTATCTGTACATGGATATTGCTGCATCATTAGTTACCCTCATCTAGAATTGAGTGAACCCGGGCTGTAAAGTTCCGGTTTGTACCGAACATTTAGTTTTTTGGAAACAAGAACAATAAAGTATACACACTATAATTATATAAAGATCATATATAAGGGAGAGATACCAGGTGTACCTCACTGACACCTAAATTACATATAATAGAAAAGACAAAGTGGAAACACCTCCCAAATACGTGATAATATAAGCATAAATACAAATAACCTGAGATATAGGTAGTAATTCGCAAACAGAATCTGTATGAAAAATTAAAAAACTAACATAGCGTAATACAGTACTAAGTAAGTGAGTGGTATGTTAGTGAAAATAAGTGCACTCACAAACAAAATATGAAATCAGGCTTCTCACCCTCCAAAGGGTAGCAATCTTAGTGAGTAGTCCTCCTCCGTAGGATATATAAAAGAATAGGAAACAAATATAGTGAAGCATGTAATTGTATTACAAAATCGTATTTATTGGTCTCACTTACAAGTGAAGAAAATTAGCAGGCATATCTCCAAATAACATGGGACTCCCAGAACGATGTAAAAAAAGTCCAATAGAAGATCCAATGGAACAGGCAGGATACAGTTGAAATAAAATTAAAATAAAATAAATATAAAAACTACTTACAGAATATGTATTAAATTAAGTTTTTTGGACCCAGGACCCGAACACGGACATATCACTGTATGTTCGGGTTGGAGTTCGGTATTCGGCGATTTAATGGCGCGTTTTGAAAGGCTGCAGGGCAGCCAATCAACAAGCGTTTGACTTGTGTGCCCTTAGAAGCCATCACAGCCATGCCTACTAATGGCATGGCTGTGATTGGCCAGTGCAGCATGTGACCCAGCCTCTATATATAAGCTAGAGTCGCGTAGCGCCGCACGCACATGCAGTCTTATTAGTGTAGGGAGAGGATGCTGCCGCTGATAGGGACAGCTTAGGAAAGAATTCTGCAAACTAGTACATTAGTGGGGTGGGGTAGTTTTAAAAAGTAAATTTTTTGGGGGTTCTAAATAGTACATTAGTGGGGTGCACTTCATATCTGAGAGTCAAATCAAAGCATCTAATAGTGTGCTTACAGCACAGTTGTAAAAATTCAAATTTTCTGGGTGTTAATCTGCTAAATAGTAAATTTTGTGGCCTGCTCTTCATATCTCAGAGTCAAATAGAAGAGTCTAATAGTGTGCTTACTGCGCAGTTGTAAACATTCTAATTGTTTTGCTGCTAATCTGTTAAACAGTCCATTTGGGGCTTGCACTTCATATCTGAGAGTCAAATAGAAGCATCAAATAGTGCGCATAATGCGCAGTTGTAAACATTCTAATTGTTTTGCTGCTAATCTACTGCTTACATTGTAGTTTTAAAAAGTCTTTTTTTTTTGGTGCTAAATAGTATATTTGGGGTGTTCACTTCATATCTGAGAGTCAAATTGAAGCGTTACTTTGATTCGAATTTACTACATCGGTCACTTGTAATATTGTTTCACACCTACAACACTTGTTACACAGATCTAAGAGATAGAAAACAGATTTACTTCAACAATATTGTAATTCTGGAGCAGTCAAACTGAGAGGTCAGTTTATAGGGAAAACTGTTGCCTGGATACAATTCTAAAACAATTTCCATATGTCCTTTGCAGAGTTTACATGCTGGAAAAACACAGGTGTCAACTGCTGTTGCTTTTTGCAGTGTGCAGTCCGGCAAGGAGGGCAGGGTTGAGGGTTGGGTGGAAGATGATGTTGAGGATGATGAGGTCCTAGACCCCACATGGAATCAAGGTCATGCGAGTGACGTGTGCAGTTTGGAGGAAGAGGCGCTGGTAGCACAGAGGCACCAGAACAGCATAAGAGGGAGCAGGGTGCAAAAGCGGAGCGGCCGTCCCCTAGCGCTCGTTGGCATGTATTTGCTCGAGAATTATCAGTTATCCAAGTAATACATGTAGCGATCATAGGATCCCTAATAGAGTTGAGTGAACCCAAACTGCAAAGTTCAGGTTGGCACCAGATATAACGATACATTCGTAGTTTCACAGTCAGATGGGCAGTCCGGTGACCAGGACACTGTCTGGGCGGCGGTCGGACGACCGGGACCCAGTATGCCTGATGTTGCAGTTAGGAGTCACAGTGTGGAATGGATTAGAAGGGTCTGGTGCAGGGTAACCGCACGCCCCTTGGTGTTGAGCACCAGAATTTGTGCGGCCACATAGCAGGACCTTGATGCAGCTTCAGTAAAAAAAGTACTGGATACCAGAAGCCATCACCAGACTGACCGGCAACTTGGAACAGGATGTGACATTCACTGTAGCGGCTGGGTGTGCTTTTGGCATTGTCACCCTGCTTCTGCTCACCTGTCTACGCTGCAGCGTAACTTCGGTCTTCCCGCTCACCGCCTCATGAGACTGTGAGCAGCAGCAGGCGATAGTGGAGTTTCAGCTGCAGCATGCACGGATCAGTGGCTCTGCACCAGACTTTCCTCCAATCGATCAGAGTTAAAGGATTTCAAGTGGACTAATTACAATTACAGGGCCTCTAAATAGTCCTGTATTGTTATTTGTCGTCACTACCTTCCCCCGTCGGGAGTGGGTCATTTGCGCGCCTGCTGCCTTCCTTGCATGTGGTAGCCGTTTCTCAGTGTCCCTGTACAGAATGGAACCTTGAATCCTCATTACCCGTGGTCACAATGGTAGGCGCAGAAACTGGCATTGAAAGTTGATATGGATGACATCCGCATGCAAAGTCTCAGCTACGGAGATGTGCGATTCGCCCTAGGTTTTCTATAGTCAACAAAGTGCCTGCACAACTATAATGTCAACAGCTACTCTGCGGACCAGAGTTGACTTTTTTTATATGTCCCAATATTTTGGGGGCTACCTCAAATATATAATATATATATATATATATATATATATAGTTGGCTACATCATCCTCCACCACCACGGTCACCGCCTCCTCAACCTATGGGTCACTTAGTATAAACTAGGTACACATTAGCAGAGGCTTGTGTAGGCCTTTTCTCCATGCATCAGGAGTTGAGCATTTCTCCATGCATCAGGACTGCCAGAAATGCACCACAGGCCGCAAATGTTTCTTTTTTTGTATGTCCCAATATTTAGTGGGCTACCACAATTAAAAAAAACAAACAAAAAAAAAAACATACAAAACAGTGTTGGCTACCTCATCCTCCTCCTCCACTGCCACGGTCACTGCATCCTCAACCTATGGGTCACTTAGTATAAACTATGTACACAATAGGCTTGTAAATGCCTTTTCTCCATGCATCAGGAGTTGAGCTCAGTTTGAAAAATGAAAGAGAATACCCTGCACTCCAATCCTCTCTCAAATGGATCATTCTGGTGACCCTCCTGACAGTCATGGTTTAGATTTTGATTTATGTTCTTCCAAAGCTAAAATCAAAGATTCATCTAGTGCTATTTTATGGCTCAGCTGTATTTTTTATTTTTATGTTATTTTAGGTGATTTCCGTATCCACATTTGTTTGCAGGGCACTTGTCTTACTCTTACCCCCATTTTACTTGCTTTTGCAGCTCTCTTGCTCTTTCCAGGAGTTTTTTAGAGGCATTTTTGTGGCCAAAAGTTCAGGTCCCCATTGACTTCAAAGGGGTTCAGATTCAGGGTCAAGTTCGGGGTCATGTTTGAGCCCGAACCCGGACTTTTTTTCAAAGTTCGGCTGAACCTGCCGGACCCGAACATCCAGGTGTCCGCTCAACTCTACCCTCATCTTGATTGATTCTTTTTTTAATCTGTTTGAAAGTAGTCTGCCTTTGTAATATCATGTCCTTCGTAGTTTTTCTAGGGAGAAGTTCGCTTTCTGAATGTGAAGATTGTTTATTTTATCCTTAATGAGCATCAGTTTTTGAGTGACTTCTATGCTGGGTTTATTTTTATTGGCACATTCCAGTTCATCTAGTTCTATATATAATTGTGCTAAATTTTTTTAACTCTTCTGCTTCTCCTGGGACCCCAATTTAATTAAAATGTCCCCGAATTGTGCATTTGTAAGCGCACCATATGAGTGGTAAAAAGAGGTCTAAAAGGCCCCTCTTTTTAAAAATATCGCTAAATGTTTACGCAGAATTTCTTAAATGTTTGTTACAATGATCTCTATATAGGCTCTTTCTATCCAGATCTGGATTAGGGATACAGTTGAAATCCCATAAATAGATTACTTTCCCTTGTCTTATTCTATCAACTCTATCAAGTATTTTCCGAATAAACTTTATCAGAGCTTGATTTGGGGGCATAAATAATAACCATCGTATAGACCTGGTTATTGATTTCACAAATTAATATGTGAAACCTGCCTTCTAAATCTTCTACCTGATGAATAAATTCAAAGGCCACTGTTGTTGAAATAAGTGTGGCAACTCCTCTTTTTTTTTTTTTATTGCACATAGATGAGGAAAAAAAATTTAAGGATAATCTTTAGAGTGTAATCGCTGCTTACCCGTCCGCTCCCAGTGTGTCTCCTGGACTCCACATATCGAGATTGCCTCCTCTTTTAAAAATCTAAGGAGGATATTTCGCTTCTGTGGTGAATTTAAGCCCCTCACATTTAATGATGCTAATTTTATCATTGAAATTCCGGATCTACTTTTAAGCAGCCTCCCCTGACCCCAGCAAGATGTTAAAAATGAAATATGACCATTACACATAAAACAAGACAATAAAAGCACGTACAAGCAACAATATATTACTGTGTTATTTGATACTATTCATGTTATCTGAGTTAATTTGACTATTAGTGGGAACATTACTTCCTATTTAATTATTTGTTACATTTCCGCCTGTTTTAACGGTTTATTTAGATATACTTCTGACTATTATTTTTTATGTATTTGTTCCCTTCTTGGTTCCCTTGACCCCCTGATACCAGTACGATTAACTGAGCTCAGGGGTGTCTGCAGGAACCACTGATGCCTGTCACGGCGCTTTGCGCCCTCTTCCTACCCATTATCCGTCCGACCGCCATATTACTGAGGTCGAGCGCGCGTGCTTTCCTCAGTGCACCCATTCTCCTGATTTTTCTTATGCTTAGATACCCAACCTTCAGGTGTTTTATGCGAACGCACTTGGAACCTTGCGTTCACTTTCACGACCCCCTCATTCGGCAGTTTTGTGGGATAATTCCGCGTACACATTGATAACACTAGGGAGGTGTTCGTCTACACGAACGCTTCTGTTCCCCTCCCTTCGGGACTTTTTTGCCGCTCGCAGCGGCCATTATATTGTCTTTCCCGCGTCCTGAAACTAGCACAGCCCCCCGAAAAAACGGTACTCAGAGTTGGGGGTTAGTGCTAGTGGCGGTCGGACGGCTCTCTGTTTCTCCTGTATCATTGATTATTCTGTGAGTTAAATATATTACTAGTAATATTCAAATATATTCATAAAATTTGTTCTATACTTTAGATTCCCTCCTTTGGGTTACTCAACCCTCCTCCACAGGTTTTACTACCCACAGATTTGTTCTATTGTTTCTGGAAATAATCCCGTCAGTCAATAGCATAATTATTGATTAATATCTAAAGTATTATTTAATCCCATAAAAATCACACATCAGGTGAGGAATAAGATGAGACACCTTCATCCTGGTTGATAAAGAGTCTGCCAGACCCCTTTTAATTCCTTTTTAACCATATTTGGAATTCATTATATTGCAAAGTGTGGGGGCATTGAGATGAGTGTAATGTTTTGTGTGGCGTTCAACAAGATTTGGTCATGTGATACTCTGAATTCAGTCAAAGATTTGGTGTGATTTATAGAACACATTAAAGTTTACATTTTCATTTAGGGTGCAATATAGGGCTGATATTGGAAGGGAATAATTTCAACTTGGGCTGAACCCCTGTTCTCTTTGCTGTCTAGCATGCCACTGCTATCAACTTTATAATAAATGTACTGCATCGTGATTTTGTTTACTAAGGCCTCCTTCATTTCCCAAAATTCGTATACTGCATACATTGTGATGAATCTCAAAAATAATTAACTGGAATCTGTTGTCAGCTTTTGTATAAACATAAATAAGAGAAAAGTTCAACATAAAGTT